CAGGGATTCTTTGCATTCTGATAGGATTGTCCCAGTCTGGTTCCAGTTTGACCCCACGCTGGTGATTGTGTTTAGTTCCTGCAGAGTCGTTTTTGGTTTGTTAAATTCTGTGTTCACTGATGTCCTAATTTATTCACATTCTGCATTACTCAGGTGATCTGATCCAGTATTCTGTTCTGATCTGCTTCTGATTTTGTTATTTTTTCCCTCTGTGTAGCCTCTGAAGGTTGATTGGATTTCCTCCAATCAGAATTGATCAATAAGAACAATCTTTGACCCAAACCAGACCTGTTTATTTGTTCAGAACGGGCCGGTCACTGTTTGACTAGTTATCAGCTGTGACTCATTAACTCGTAAGAGTTCAGGCTCAAAAAGTCTGATCTTAAATTAAAACTCTCTGACTCAGGCCTTCAAGTTAAAATGAGTTATTTTTTATGTTCAGAACCAGCTGAAACTCTGGGTCGTAACTCTAGTCTTTCTTCTTTGTCTAAAATATTTCTGCAGTGGAACCTTATCTTAGCAGCATTCAGAACCCTGTGGTTCTGAAGCCATAGGTGTGCTGCAGTAACACAGAAACAATGTGTAACAGACACCAGCAGGTGGCGCAATAACAGTCAAAGTTTAGCTTTGCATTGGTTGCATGGAGTCAGGTGATCCTTAGCTGGTTTTAGGTTGATACAAGTTCTGATTGAGAGGTTCTGGCTATGAAGGTCTGTCTGACTGGTTCTGATTCACTTTCGCTTCACATTGTTGAAGTTAATCACTCAGAGGTTCCTTATTCCAATCAAACCAGCAGATCATCACCAACAAGCAGAACCTCCTTAGATGGGAGTTCCTGTTAGAGCTGTGATGTTCCCAATGAGGACATGAGGCTCCATGTCACCATGCACTAGGAGCTTTCAATGTTCTGTCAAAGATCTGCAAGTTCTGATGGTTGTGATGTGGCCATGTTTCTGGTTGGTGCTTTCAGGCTCTCAGCCGGAGAAGCTGGGGTCTCTGTTTTGATCATGTTCTGGGATGTCCAGCTGTGAGTCTGTGGGTTGGGTTTTGCCCTGAGCAATGTCTGCAGGTCATGAAGATGTTTAAATCTGCAGTTAGTCTTGGTTTGAGACCACAACGTTTCCTTCTGTGCTGCAGTCCAAGCATCCCCTCAGCCTTACGCATAAGAAGAGACAACAATAAACTAGGGGGATCCACTTCCTGCTCAGATCAATAAAGAGCCTCTGATTTTCTGGAACATAAAACAGACCTGAACGCCTCACAGCAGCAGGAATTATGTCAGCAGAACTTGATCAATATGTTCCTGAAAACCAAAAGCGAAACACATAAGGGTGAAGAATTTTAAGTTTTATTTAATAACATATGTTGCTTACACAGTCTATCCGAAACAGGCCAAGCCTCTGATAAAACATCAGATCTTTTCTCTTTAACCCCTCGTCAATTTTTTTGTAGGGAATTAAAAATGTTTTGATTATATAGAGATCTTTGAGATTCCTTCTGAATCCCCAAAGCTGCAGAAACACCTGAGCTTCTGTCCATCCAGTAAACTGGATCCTGATCCTTATGAAGATCAGTGTTAGCCATCTGTTCCCATCTCTGAGAGGAACTGCAAAGCGCACACGTCTGATTTGATTTTTCTGAAATATGAAGCGGGCGTTGGTCTCTGGTTGCAGCTTTGTTTCAGGATAAGTGAAGACATTTGATCTCTGTCTCCCAGAATATCTGAGGCAAGGATCATGTACCTCAGGAGATTCTGCTCATCCTCTTAAAGAGAGGGAGACACATACAGTCAGAAGAAAATTAGTGAGACCAGAGGAAAGGATCAGACAAAAAAAAAAAACATCAACTATCCGAATTTCTCCTTTCCAGCTGTTGTCTGTAGAGTGTCTTTCTCATGTGTTCTCCATGTGTCCATAGGCTCAACGTACTCTGGCCTGCAACAGCATCGCTCAGAAGATGTCCACAGGAGGCCGTCCCCAGTGTCCAGCTATGTCCCCCCGCCCGATTACATGGATGAAGACGAGGATGAGGACCTGATCAAGCCCAAGAAGCTGGTGAATCCCGTCAAAGCTTCCAGGAGCCACCAGGAGCTTCACAGGGAGCTGTTGAGCAGCTGCAAACGGTGAGATGTCTTCACCCTATTTAGGGAACATTTTGGACAGGGAGCAGGAGAAATAACCTCTTCAGGTGGACATGATGCACTGATAACTGATCAGAAACAGGTAGAGTCAGGGTTCTCCAAGCCCAGCAGGGTGGAGCTGAGTAGATCTAACATCAGGTCACATCCACTAAAACTGATGCACCCTGTAGCTCAGGTGAGACCTGCAGGTCCACATAACCATAAGTTTTACATCAAGATCTGAGTGAAAAGCCATTTTCCTACTCCCTTAAATCAAATAAATTGACGTTTTACTTATAACTGTGGTCATTTTTTGAGAACCAACTAAAGGTAGATTATTCTAAGGTAAATTTTTATAATGTAAACGTATAAATGTTCTGGAAAATGCCCCCAAAATCCAGAAAGGCTGCAAATTTTGAGATGCTGAACATGTAGGAAGCCTGAGAGTCTGAATGGGACCAGAACCAACTGGATCAGATTGTTGCTGATAGAATCCCTGATTGGTTTGGATTATTCTCCAGTTTCCTGCTGCTGACCAATCAGAGAGCAGCTCTGATACATGTGACAGATTCTTTGTTTTCTTTCAGTTCAGGCTGCTTGTCAGTGTTGTTGCTGAGAAACAGACTTTTGAGGCCTGTGGGAAAGTTTTTACCTCCTCACAGAAACAAAGCAGAGTGCATGATAGCGTGCACAGGGCTCCCATTCAGAGTTCCCCTGACCCAAAATGTCACACATGAATGTCATTTGGAACAGGCTGCAGCTCCAACACACCTCCTCACTAACTGTCAATAATTATCCTGATCATCAATAATTAGTTTGATCTTCAATAATTAATTTCATTAATCAATCCTAGATCTGAGGTTCCTCACAGATCTAGGCAAAACATCCTCTTCCATTGCTGCACCTCAGGCCTGGGATAATATTGAACATTCTCTGAAGCCTGAGGATCATATTCCCCCTAGTCTCTTAAAACGTTTCTAAATACCTGTTTGGCTGTAGAGTGTACTTTTTATTCTGAAGCTCAACTGTGAATTATTTATCTCTGTTTACATGTTTATTTATTTTTTTTAAAGTTATGTCTGTCGTGACTGTTGGCTTCATCTTCCTAAAAAAAGATTCTCTCAACGGACTTCCCAATAAAATAAAGGCTAAAGAAATATACTGTATATATATTTATGTATAATTTATATAACACCAAGTTATAACTTGAGGCAATTCCCAGAGTCAGTTCAGTCAAATCATCAAATTGCAACAAGTCATTGACTTGCAGGATTCACCTCTCCTATATGAGCATGTAGCAACAGTGGACAGTTGCTTGCATTGTGATGTTGACTTTGCAGCGATCCATCATTTAGCAAAAGTTGAGTGAAAAACTCCCCATTAACAGGAAGAAACCTACTTCAGAACCAGAAACAAGCGCAGTGTAAACGTATTTCTGCTGCACAAAGCTAGGGGTTTGAATAGACAGAGAAGAGTCACAAAAACAACACAGGAACTGTGATCTATGAGTAGTTTCTATCTGAGAGAAAATTGAAAGGGTAGTTTCAGTAGTAGCTCCTGTAATGGCTTTAACTAGGAGAGAAAAGCAACTAAACAGATGGAGTCTGAGACAGTAATTAAGTCTAAATGTTACACAGAAACAACTGGGATGCTAAATAAATAATAACCAAATAAATAAATGATTATTAGGGTTTGGATGAGATTGCTGCGTTTAGGGCAATAGAGGCTCTTCGGGAGAGAATGTTCATTGGTCTGTTAGTTCTTGACTTAACTGCCTTGAAATGCTTCCCTGAGGGCAGGAGTTTGAAGAGGTAATGGCAAGGGTGGTAGGGGTACCTGGTAATGGTGGCAGTTGGTCCTGTAGATTGCCTCCTAAGGTAGAAGACAACATCCAATCAGACTCTAGGCATTGTCTTCTGGACTTCTGCCCAAGCACAGCCTGAGAACCATGGATGCCATGGCTTTCGTTGCTCTCCCATGGATGCCATGCCACTGACTCGTCAGAGCACCTATAGGACACCAAGAGTTCAGTCATCAGGTTGCACTGCTTGAGGATTCTCGGGAAGTACAAACTTTGCTGTGTCTTCTTTGCCATTGAAGTGGAGCTGAAATTTGGCATTGTGGGCACCCTGTCCCCTTTTGCAAAGATGGGCTAAATGCTTGGTTTAAACATCAGTTCCTTTGACGTGGATGTGTTCAAAAAAAGATGGCTGGTGGTGCACCAGACAGTCATTCTGCCTCCACTCTATATGGGGTCTCATGTCCCCTAAAGATGAGCCCCACCCACACACGGAAACTTTATGATGGTATTGTTTAGGTGGGTGGAGGGACAGCCAGGGATATAGAGGGTGTAGAGTAGGGTTCTTATAACACAGCCTTGTTGATCACCTGTACTGGTGCTCAGTACCGTGGTCGGTACTGAGCACCCCCTCTGGAAGCAGTTTGTCAGGAAGTTCATCTCCAGCAGCAGATGTTGAGGAGACCCAGATCCCCCAGTTTGCTCATTAATCTGCTCAGAAATATGAAGTTAAAATTCAAGCTAAAGTCCAGAAAGAGCGTACTCTTGTAGCTCCCACTTAGTTTCACATGTGTCAATGTGGTGTGCTGATCAGCAGTGGGGGTATCCTCTGTAGATCGGTTTAAGTAGGCAAACTGGTGGGGGTCGAGACTGGGGTGCAGTTATGAACTGATGTGACTCCCAATCAGTTTCTCGAAGCACGTCCTGATCTGACAAGCATGGCCAATGGAAATGTCTATGAGGGAGTTGGATCTTCTATTAAATGAGAACCTGAGGTCACCAGCAGCAGCAGCCCAGTCAATGGCATCTCTGGGATGGAGACACAGCTGAGCAGTACAAGGACAGAAGGAGCTACCATGAAGTAATATAACAAAGATAACATGTAGTTAAGAGTTGTAACAGCTGCAACTTATGGAGGATTGGAAAATATTAAAAGAACGTAGCAGAGTGAGGAAAAGTGGTCCCTTTGTCTTCCACTAGCTTAAGCCTATATCACCATAACTATAGTGATAGCTCAGGATAACCTGAGCCACTCTAATTGTAGCCTTTATCAAAGAAAAAAAAATTAAGCCTCTTCTTAGCATAACATGTCTGCCTAACAATCACCTTCAGATAACTGGAAGTTGGATTCACAGGAGAAGAGCCTGATAATTGAAATATCTGCCTCCAATTGTACAGTTATCTCAAAAACCAATCCTAATTATAAATCACTGAATTACTTTTTTACTAATTCATATGATTTTCTCACATTGACTAAAAACATCTGTTTTTTGCTCAAACCTTAATTTCACAGCAGAAACCACAACACATCAAATGTCTCCAACATGTTTCATGTGTGTGTTCTCTACAGAGGAGGTAGCAGTGTGGAGACTAAATCAGAGCTACAGAGAGTTCTTGAGTCCAGGAAGAGGGATCAGATGATCCGACAAAGGAAACAGGAAGAAGAAGCTCACAGGAAGATTTCCCCTCTGGAGGCTGAGCTGCTAAAAAGACACATGAAGCTGGAGGAGGTGAGAGTTTTAAGGGTAGCCAAACAAGAGCATCTGGGCCACGTTTAAGGCGGAACCCAAGAGTGCTTCTGCAGTTTAGGTCATAAATCACAGATCGAAATTAAGAAAAATGTAATGGAGTTAAAGATGTCCATGGTCTGCAGGGGACCAAAGCAGGATCTGGAACATTCTCTAGATGGTCTGGTTTAGACCCTCTGGATCAGTTTGGACCTACTGCCAGAAAACCCAAAGGGTTCAGATGAATTAGTTGGACAGAGAGAGATCAGTTTTAAAACCTCTTAAAAAGATCAGAAATTCCTTCTCATGTGACTATGTCACCTGATAGACTGTTTTTGTTAACTCAACTCTAAATGTCTTTTCTGACTCCACCTGTCTTCTGATTCTGTCCCCAGCTGGAGCGTCAGGAGGAACAGCAGCGGGAGGAGAACCTCAAAGCTCCAGAGTTCGTTAAAGTCAGAGAAAATCTGAGAAGGACTTCCTTCCAGGCAGATGAGAAGAAGGCGTAAAGAAGGAGAAACAACGAGTCCAAATGGATACAGGAGGACAGTTTGCTCTGAGGACTTAGCCAGAGTGTCCATATGAGGACTGTGAGGACAGGGACACTGGCAGCCATGATGTATTTCAGCAAATGTAAGCTTTCTCAGATTGATGAGTGGTCAATCTGATAGAAAAACTCACTGAAGCTGATGTTTCCTCATCATGATGACTCCTAAGAACAGTTAGGCTTGAGTAAGCTGCTGCCACCTAGTGTACAGCATGTAGACAGCAGCTGCTGAACATGCAGGGACAACCACCTGAAGAGGAAGAGGAGGGCGCACCTGAACACTGGTCTTCATCTTCCTGATTTTTTACAGCTCCTGATGCTTCAGTCAGGTGGACAAATGATCCGCTCTCTGATTGATCAAGACGATCCTCGGGTATTTCACCCGATAGTGAGATCGTGAGACAATGTCAGCAGGTTTTTCTGCTCCTCTGACCACTACGCCTCCCCTATGTGCCTTATCAGATGGGAAACTGTCCTCTATGGGGAGCCTGCTGCTGCAGAAACTGTTAAGATCATATCAGTTAATCAGATGTTAGATAATCTAAATACCTTTTTAAATCATGATGGATCTCTGTTATAGAGTTAGCAACTGTTATTGGTCGATGTTCCATACGAACTTTATCAGCTGCTCACATCTGTTGCACATGACTGTCGGTCCAGTTAGGACCCGTGGGGGTTGAGGGTTAAAAACAACTGCAGTTTTACACCTAATGAGACTTGAGTAAATTCTGAGATCTGATAACTGTGAAGGCATGAAACCACTTCCTGGTAGAGTGAGAACAGCTGCAGGACCTCGACTGAGCTTTCTTTTCTCTGAGCACCATCAGTACAACAGGGTTAATCCAGCAAAAATTGTCCTCAGATTATGTGAATTAGAGGTTTGTTGACTGATTGTTGTGCTTAAATAAATCATTATTAACGCAGATGTCTGAACGTTTTTATTTGTTTTAATTTCTCCATCAGAATTATCTGGTTTTCTGAGCCCAGTGATAGAAAGAAAAAATAAATCTTCAAGCACCGAGTAGAAACAGACTAACTGCTGTACTGATTCCAGAACACTTTCTATACAATATTACTAGCATGTTAGTCAAATACAGGACTACAGTCTTACAAAAAAGATACGAAAAAGCAAGACACACAAATGTAGGGAATGCAGAGATCGATATAAATCGGCAACAAGACATTCAACATCTGAAAGTGCAAATGGTGCTACTAACGTGTATCATGCATAGTATTGTGGGATATGTGGGATTTTTCATAGCTTTTTAGGGAATGTGGCTCCATCTGAATACTGCTGGTTTTAGCTTTTAGCTCATAATCCTTCACCTTTTGTGGTTTCAACAGTAAGAACCCGATCATGGGTAGAAAAGACTGCTGGGCTGAATCCTTCTAGCCTTTANACGAACTTTATCAGCTGCTCACATCTGTTGCACATGACTGTCGGTCCAGTTAGGACCCGTGGGGGTTGAGGGTTAAAAACAACTGCAGTTTTACACCTAATGAGACTTGAGTAAATTCTGAGATCTGATAACTGTGAAGGCATGAAACCACTTCCTGGTAGAGTGAGAACAGCTGCAGGACCTCGACTGAGCTTTCTTTTCTCTGAGCACCATCAGTACAACAGGGTTAATCCAGCAAAAATTGTCCTCAGATTATGTGAATTAGAGGTTTGTTGACTGATTGTTGTGCTTAAATAAATCATTATTAACGCAGATGTCTGAACGTTTTTATTTGTTTTAATTTCTCCATCAGAATTATCTGGTTTTCTGAGCCCAGTGATAGAAAGAAAAAATAAATCTTCAAGCACCGAGTAGAAACAGACTAACTGCTGTACTGATTCCAGAACACTTTCTATACAATATTACTAGCATGTTAGTCAAATACAGGACTACAGTCTTACAAAAAAGATACGAAAAAGCAAGACACACAAATGTAGGGAATGCAGAGATCGATATAAATCGGCAACAAGACATTCAACATCTGAAAGTGCAAATGGTGCTACTAACGTGTATCATGCATAGTATTGTGGGATATGTGGGATTTTTCATAGCTTTTTAGGGAATGTGGCTCCATCTGAATACTGCTGGTTTTAGCTTTTAGCTCATAATCCTTCACCTTTTGTGGTTTCAACAGTAAGAACCCGATCATGGGTAGAAAAGACTGCTGGGCTGAATCCTTCTAGCCTTTAGCCTATGTCAGGAGGATGTTGGTCAAACAGACTACAGCCATCTGGTGTATTAGTGAACAAATCATTTTATTCTTTCTTAAACTCAATCAGGTGGGCTGTGCTTATATGTTCTGTCACGTAATGGATTGTAGGAACATATCAGAGTTCCTATGCTAAAGGAACTATGGTAGGAAGCATACAAACTCCTTTTCCTGCCTCCTTCTTTACTACCAGCACTATTCAGACTCCACCTATCAAAGCAAATTCTGACACATATCTGTTTTGGCTAAAGGCTTATTAGAAATTAGAACATGTTGGACACAGCCAAAGACTAAACAGTATATAAACAAACCATGCAGGAAATACACAAAGGCCCAATCCCAAACCACTATGCACTACCCCTTAACTATGTAATGTCACACCCAATGAAGTCATACTCGCATGGTGCTTTTATTGAATGTGTTGGCGTTTGAACATCCTCCACGGGCAAAGGAGAGCAATCGTTGCTATGGTAACATAGTAAAGCCCTATGTGCATGGCTGTAGCTTTATGGCACAGCCTAACATGAAATTAAATATTTGCTACTTACTTAAAAAAAAATAAAATGTCCCCAGAAAAGTTAAATAAAACTACTCCAAGAGGACCATCCTTTTTGGAATCAATTACGTCCTTTTTTTTTTTTTCCCCCCTCACTTGTGATTTTCTGACAATGTGACGAAGATGAGCCAAATCAGTGGAACTTACATTTAAATGCAGGTGTTTCCTCTGCCATCAGGCCAGCATTACACCCGCTGCTACAGTCCAGCCAGTCTGCACTAATGCAGACTGGCTGTTCAAGGGCAGAACGTCACTCCCCCTACCCTCTATATAGTTTGGGACGGCCCTTAATATGGAGAGTCTCCACGGGAATGTTCAACCAGAGGGTTAGTGATTAGGAGCAGTGTTTAGGAGCTGGTTTGTGACTGAGCCAAAGACTGTCTATGATGTAGACAGAACCTAAAAGAAGCAGAAACAGATTTCTTAAGATAGTAAAGACGATTCTTTACTATCAGGAAGTTGAAAAAATAGTTGAAAGTCAAGAAGTAGGGAAAAGGAGACTGACACAAGAGGGCAAACATGAAATGTCTAAGAACTGAAATATAATCAAAAATAACTAGAACACAAAAATCGAAATAAGACCATTGGAAACTCAAAGATAAAACTTTAAAAGAACTAAAACACTGACACTATGAAGCTAGTTTATCATTACCTTCTCTAACAAAGGGAGTATTTATGGATTAGTGCCTCTATGTCCTTTTTATATGTCTTAAATCTTAAACTGGGTCTGCAGAAGGGATTTTTTCCTTTCCACTGTTACTGCATGCAAGCTCAGTGAGAGGATTGGGTGCAAATTGAGTGACACAATACAAGCAAATGTTTACCATTGCTACATGTTCCTCCATGAGAAGCTTTTACCCTGTTTTTTAGACAGAGATTCATTTGAAGATCTGAGAAGTTTGCAACATAGAAGCAATTTTTAGTGAGCTGAAATGCTGGAACAAGCCATGCTTAAGAGAAAGAGGATATGTGTTTCCCTTCATCCTGCCCAACAGGAACTGAATGGTGCTGTTCAGGCAAATAAGAGAAGCTTCTACTTGCAATAACCTGGAAGAACTGGTTTTTGTTCCACTGCAGGTTCAGACACAAACCTGAAGAACTAGTTATCTCAACCTATAAACATTAATACAAATAAAAGTAATTTATGTGTGTCTTTCTAACGAGGAGAAAAAACGGGTCAGGGAACAGATACCATAAACTAGATGTTTAGTCCAGACCGTGTGACCACAACCCTCATGGAGAACTGCTGCAGCAAATGAAACCGTTTCTGCATTTTTCTTGATTACAAAACATTTTTCCCTTACGGTTTTGATCCCAAACTCTAGCATGGTCTCAGAACCTGGCCTGTCCAATTCTGATTCACTTTACAGGATCAGAACTTTAAGGAGGGATGCACCCCTTGGCGCAGCTTTCTGCAGTGGCTACATATAACCACAGGTGTCGCTGTTTCGTTCTTTTTTTCTTAACAAACCGAATTTATCACATCAGAAAAACCTAGAGGCGACATTAAAAGCTTTTATTTTGACACAGTGGGGGCATTCAGGTGTAACATGGTTAAAAGGCCATTGGAAGAAAACAGGTTCACACATAAATTTAAAAAAACTACAAAAAAAAAAAAAGAAAAATACCTGTCTAAAAACCTATACAAATCTGAATTAGTGTCCAGCAGTGGGTGGAAGACATTGAGGATCGCTGTTCTGAGACCAGTGGACAAACAGAGCAGGTCCTTCTGATGAGCTTCTTTTGCTTATATATGTATTAAGATAGTTGTTCTTTGATTTTAAAATTATCAATAAACATTGAAAGAAACATTTTTTCAGATTGCATATACTGTCATCCGTATCAGTATAACCCATATATACACATGCAATGACATATTTATATATACACAAGCATACATCCATACCTTCCATATAACTATAAAAAGTATATTCATATTACTTTGTAAACAAATAAATCAATGTCTGGCGTGTACTTTGTGTCTTTATTCAAACTACTCCACAAAGTCACTACACAGCTTGATACAGACACACTTTTTCTTGCTCATTTTTAAATCCATATCTTTCCTTAGACTTGATCCATTATTTCATTTTGTGAATATTTCTTTAATTTTTTGTGAACGTCACTTTTGTCTTGCTTTATTAATCTTTTTTCTTAAATAAGATATGCAAGGTAAAAACACAGATGAGTGAGGACTGTATGGTGGATTACAATCCAGGAATTTATTTATTCTTGCAGAGATTGCAGTGCATTTGAACAGTTTTGCTTTTACTTATCCTACAAGAGGTTTCTAGGTGATTTTTTCCCATGTATTCTTTAAATTTGTGTTTTTTTTTTACTTTTATAGTTTCTGTTTTAAACCTTCTAAATGCCATGATCATTGCTTTACTCTGGTTTAGGAAAACTTTTTCCTGTCCAACCATACATTTATTTGACCTCAGAAGCGTTTGAATGATTTTACAAAATCTGCTAGAAGCGTGTCCCAGAACAAAAATATTGATGCAATTAACAAACAAGACAAATTTGTAGTAATTTAGATACTTTAGAAATGTTACTGATATACACCATAAATAACTCTGTGACCCGTTTTCGACATGTGATTTCTCTGTATGAGACAAACTGTTTTCTTTTTATTAAGTATCAACCAGGCTAAACCTAAACTCCAATATCATTTTTATAGGCCTAGTTGGCTACTATTATTTATGTTCTATTTCTAAGAAAATTCCAACTGCTAATCTTTTGTTATTCATGTAATCGTCACGTTTTACTAATTCCATTTGAGTCCAAGATGTTGCTCTGTTGGATCTAATCCATACTCAATGTGAGTTAATTGGATTTAAATCAATTAGTCTAACCTGTCTGGAAATGGATATAAATAGTAATATCAGATAATTGCAAGGGAGCTCCCTTAAGCCGTTTGCATTCTAGGTTTTGTTACCCCAACCCAGAGGGAACAATCCACCTTTCTACATCTGAGAACCCTGGTCCTGGAGTTATAAGAGTTGACTCTGGTCCCTCCTGCTTCAGTCTCAGCAGCTGATGACCTGAAGAACCTATTAGAACAACATCATCTGCAAGTTGCAGAGATGATACCCTTAAGTTCCCAAACCAGACATCCCATTTTCCCTCAAATTATGAGCAGGCAGTAATGGCTTTATTGCTTCAAACAGTAAAAACTGTGAATATGATACAAACAAAAATAAAGGAAAAAATCACAGAAAACATGCAAAGAATGTATATGTAGTTAAGAGACGTAAAAGGTTGCCTAATTCCATCATTTTCCACCAATGTGTCACTGGTCTTCTCAAACAACTCACATAATTGTCAGTGAAGCTGAGTGCTACCACATCTATTCCTTTATGGTTCCCATCTACATTAAGATCCAAAATTCTGAGATTAAATTCAGAATTCTGAGGGAAAAAAAGTAAGAATTCTGAGATAAAAGTCAGAATTTTCAGATTTAAGTCAGAATTCTGAGATTAAAGTCAGAATTTTGAGAAAAAAAGTCAAAATTCTGAGATTAAAGTCAGAATTCTGACTTTTTCCCCATATTAAACTGAAATAATATTTAAAAATCAGCAAAACTTTTTTTTTTTTTTCCAGGGGCCCTTTGGCCATAGCCTCTCGTGGGTATTGAAATTCCCCCGTATACCCCCGCAACAGCTTATCTGTTTTATTCTGAAAGGTAAACCGGAAGTGGTGTGGATGTTTTGATGAGCCTGAACAAACAGCTCCGCAGCTGTCCAGCAGCCGTCGCCCCGTGGAGCTCATCTCTTTCTCCGTTTAGCAGAACCCGACAGATCCCCCCTCAGTGAGCCTTTGGGGTTACCCAGAACAGGAGCTGAACCCAGCAGAGCTGGAGCTCCGTTCCCCGGTCTAGAGGAGAACAGAAGCAGCTGCACATGCGACTCCAGAACGGCTTTCCGCCTGGATTCTGCGCCTGGATCGATGTGATTCCCGGAGGAAAGTAAAGATGGCAGCCGTTAGCCCCTCCCGGACCCCGTAGTTTGAGGGACAGGTAAGACCGTACACCTGTCGGTTAGTCTCACGGATCCTGCGACCAAAACGCTCCAGTTTGATGTATCCATCAGCGGTCTGACCTATCGGACCGGTCCGTTATATGTCAGAGATTTGAACCAAACTTACTTTACCGATTTTACATTTTAAAAACATCCCAGCCTCGCTGAGCTCAGTCTGCGGTTCCCACAAAAGTGAGTTTTAGATTATAGTCACAGGGGTCCAGTTATAAGTTCGGCTTATAAATTATTAACATCCAGACCCGGTTCGTGGTAAGGGGGCTGTTTTCTTTCTATTGGGGTTCTTTACCGTGCACCTCTCCAGCCGGGGGGAAATATGGAGAAAAAAAACAACAACAAAAACAGCAAAATATAGAATTTGTTTAGTCCATACTTTGACTGTAAACCCGAGTCATGCAGAGCAATCAGCGTGTTTTAAAAATGCTAAAAAAGTTGGAAATTAATTTAATGCTTTAGGTTTTCTGCTGTTAAATGTAGCCCAGATAAAGTGTGTGATTCTTGAATGGAGTCTGGTTGAAAGGTTTCTGACAGGCAGATGATGTGTTTTATCTCACTTTGCGGACCTGTTTGTCTCTGAGTCTGCGCAGATCAGCTGTTTACCTTCAGCCACCGTCACCAAGTTCAACTTTAACCAGGTAAACAAAGAGCAGCTGGTCACAGATCAGAGCCTTGCATGAGGGGAAGGACATATTAGACACAGAGACACTGTGAAACATTCAATAATCCATCCATCCATCCATCCACCCATCCACCCATCCATCCATCCATCCATCCATTCGTCTGTCCATCCATCCATCCATCCATCCATCCATCCATCCATCCATCAAAACACCCACCGACCTGAATTTGGTCTGGATGCTCTGTTCTGCAGAACTGGGTTCTGCTTTCCCATCTGACTGAAACTACTTTCAGGAACCTCTGGCTGCAGTGGCTCTTTTTCAGACAGCCTGTCAATCAAAGTGCTGATTTCAGCAACTGTAGTTTTCCAAACTGCCCTGTGGGTTCAACATGGCTGATTCTGGCCCATTTCTACCTTAAAGGAACCATTCATGTTCTGTGTACTTCCTATGTTCATTTACAGTGGTTCCTCATCTCTTTAAATCTGTTACCGGTCCTGATTAGTTCTCAGGAACATTTTCCCAGGTGCCATGGAGCCAAAACTCTGATTCAAAGCTCTAGGCTAAATTAAGATAACATGTTTATAGCATTTCTCCAAATTAACTCTTTTTTTCTTATTTCAAAAATTGCTTTTAATTTAGTTCCAAAATCCACAAGCTCCAGTTTCTACCATAAAGGTTATTGTGTTCTTCAGCTTTGGAGCATTTTGCAGCAGCTTTTCCTTTTTTTTTCTGGAGGTTTTTATGGCACTAGCGGCTTGTTATTGCAAAGCAGGCGGACAGGAAATGTGGTACAAGAAAGGGAGAGACATGAGACAAAGGATCACAGGCTGGATTTGAACCCGGCTCGGTCACATCGAGGACTAGAGACTAAGGCCTGTTGCAGCCCTGCAGCTACTGCTCCTGCTCCTCAGCCAGGACTCTGCATGATGTCATCACAGCTGCCTTAGCTTCCTCTTCCTTCTTCCTTCCTTTCTGTAGAGGGGCAGCAATTCTTGTCCTCATAACTCAGCTGATGCATTGATCTCTTTCCTTTAGAACCTTTCCTGCAAAAACTGTAACAGAACATCCTCTGAGTCTGCCTACAGAGTTAGAGCAGAATGTTCACACTGACTCCTAACACTGGAGATCATCATCCAGTATCAGCAAAGTCCTCATGGAGTCGCCTTTGCTTCTGCTTCTCCATAGAGGAACCCATCATGAGCGCGATGTTTCCTTGTGGCTTCAGGTCTTGGAGAACAGGATTGTTTTGCTGTGAGAACATAGTGGATATGAAATAACAAGCAGGCGCATTCAGGATGTTGGTTCTCAACCACTGACTGGAGGATGTTTCCATGAAGCTTTGGAGGATATTCATTCCTGAAACTGGTTTGTCCTTTAAATTGGTTAATCCAGGATTACACAAAGTTGGTCCTTGAGGGTCGCGGTTCTGCAGGTTTTCGAGGTTTGCCTGCTTCAGCACAGCTGATTCCATTGACAGCTGATTAACATGCTTTTATTGAACTACAGTGATCAGAATCAGCTGGGCTGAAGCAGGATTGATTGGGTCAAACATAGATTATGGGTGTTTGAAGTAGGGCTGCAACTAACGAGTATTAAGCTAATTGATTATTCTGTCGATTATTTTTTTAGATGAATCGATTAATAATCAGATAGCAAAAGGTTCCTTAAAGAAGATGTTTTATTAAATTAAACCAGGTGAAACTAAAATTTTTCCACTTGAGGATTTCTGGATGGAGAAGATTGACTGACAAAAACATTTATTTTAATCTCTAACGCAAAATCGTAATGTATTTTTTTATATTTTGATATAATAACTGCTCTAAATAGGTCGCTCTGTCAGCTAAAGGCATGTTTTAGAGTCTCTGCACTCCAGTTAATTATTAAGCAGCAAAAACCCATCTGGAAAAAATTAATACTGTTCAACATCAAGCATTATAACTTTGCAAAGGGGCCTTCAGGAAAACCCCCGGAGGTAGAAATTGGAGTAATGCATTAAGATTTAAGAAGAACACAATTAGCAGTACATTTTTGGTTAAATCAATAGAGCTATAACCTTGATCATCCAACATGAGAACTTTTAGAACCATGCTTGGAAAAAGGAAAACAAGATATGAAATATTTTAGATGGAAGGAAGTCAGAGGAATTTCATAAAAAAATAAGTCCATTAATACTTCTAGCTGTTATACCACAATGGATTTTACCAGAAGCAATAGATGCATGGATTTATTGGAAAAGAAAAAGAAAAGAAAATTGCCTTTCGAGACAAATTTAGTACAAGATTATATGAACAGTTAATTCAGATATATTCTGATTCAATTCAATTCAATTCAAGAATTTATTGTCATTGTAACAAATGCAAAGATGCATTGTAACAAAGGCAAAGAAATTGTGTTTGGGGTACAATACTTAGTAGCAGCACGTTCCAAGTAAAGTGCACAAGAGGTAAAAGTGACACCAGTGCTTGACCCCCCCCAGCCCCCCCCTCCATCCCACTTAAAGTGCAGCAAAGATTATTAAGTGCCATAATGCTTGCCCCCCCAACACACACACANCAGAAGCAATAGATGCATGGATTTATTGGAAAAGAAAAAGAAAAGAAAATTGTCTTTAGAGACAAGATTAGTACAAGATTGTACTAATCTTGTAGATTGTAGATTAGTACAAGATTATATGAACAGTTGTTAATTCAGATCTATTCTGATGCATCAAAAACAAATAAAAAAGTAGGAGTGGCAGTGATAGTCCCAGAATTTAACGTTAAGATCAGAAAATGAATCCCTGATGGTTTGTCTGTTATCGCAGGAGAATTTTTGGTAGTTTATTTGACAGTTCAGTGGGTGGAGGACGATAAACCTTCAAAAACAATAATTTGCTCAGATTCAAGCTCCGTATTGATGTTTAAAACACAATCACTCAGACAAAAGACCAGATACGCTATTAGATTCAGCTGAAATGGTTCAGATTACAACAGATGGGTTAAACAGGGGTATTTCTATGGACACCATGCCTTATTGCATTGAAAGGAAACCATAATGCAGATAGGATGGCTGGGATGGCTCAAAACCATATAGATTTTATAAACTGTGTGTTTACAACTTGAAGTTTTTTTCTCCTCAATTCGTTCCTGAGATGAGATCACTCGGGACAAACTCTTTAAATCAGAGGTCTTCAACAGGGGTCCGTGACCTCTAGGGGTCCACAGAGGTACTGCATGGGGGTTGCGAAGGTTTTGGTGTATTAGACTTTTTTTTTTTTTTTTTTTATATTCCCCCATGCAATTTTTTCCGCTAATTGAAATGTCTTTAAATCCACATTAACATGAATTCAACACACTGAAGTAAACAGATAAATGGAGGCAGACATTCAGCGACACACAGGAGCTCTTTCAAGCTGGGCACCGTTTCATTCACAACACCTGTCCCATCAATGAGGAATCAGAATCAGAAATACTTTAATAATCCCAGAGCGAAATTACTTTCAGTACATGACTTCATATCTAATAGAGTGACTATAGGACCAGTTTGATAGAACACAATTTCATACAATATATATAATTATATATATATTAATATATAATAATATATGTATTAAATAACCATGACGTGGCAAGACCCATGTACGGAGGCCTTAGTCCTCGACGCAGCCGACCCGGGTTCGAATCTGACCTGTGGTCCTTTGCTGCATGTCTCTCCCCCTCTCTCATACCCCCTTTCCTGTCAGTGTAGTGTCAAAAAAATGAATAACTAGTGCTACAAAAACTCAAAATAAAATAAATAAATAACCATGAGACATGAGAAAAGTCGGACCCGAATCACAGTTTAGAAGCATTTTATACAACTCCAGTCTGCCACATCATCACATCATTACATCATAAACGTTTGTAACTGAGCAGACATCCATGGCTCCAGCCTTAACAAAATATTACACTATGTTCTCAGATCAAGGGCAGCACTCTCATTTCCATTCACAAATATTTGCCACATAAATAATGAAGATTGCTTTTTATCCTGACAGAGGAACTGTCCTAATTAGACAAACTGCTTGGGAAAACATTAGTTATGGAACACAACAGACAAGTATTATTAGGCAGACTCACACATCATCCATTAAAATAATCCTAACCGTCAGAAGCAAAGAGTATTGTCAAACAAGAATTGAACAACAAATGGCAAAAATGATGGGATAGAGACACTAAAGGGAGACGGTTTTATAGAATCCAACAGTCAGCTAGGGAAATAAAAAATGGAAGAAGGAACAGCAAGAAGGAAATGATGAACACATGGTTAAGATTTGGACATACAGGACTAAATGGTTCAATTTTTAGGATGCAAAAACATATTACAGGAAAATGTGATCATTG